ATCCCGTCAATTATTTAAAAAAAAGATAGAATGGTTTCCAGGGGCGGATTTAGGGGGGGGACGGCCCGGCCCCGGCCCCCTCTTTTGGGAAGTAAAAAAAGAAAAAAAAAAAAAAAGAGGGAAAAAGAAAAAAATAATAGCCCAGAATGTCTCAAATGTTACGTTCGGGCGTCTAGAACACAAAAATTTCGCGGGGGCATGCCCCCCGGACCCCCTACGACAGTGTTGTCTCAATCGGCCCAACTTCCGGCCCCCTTCCGGCCCCCCCTTTTGGACATTTCTGGATCCACCCCTGGTTTCCCACTAAATTTTCTCCAACTTTGGAAATAAAATGGCATGATGATCACAGTCCTACTACGGTGACAGTACATGCAATACAACAGTATGTGGACATTTTGTTGTTTAGTTACAGTAGTACCTGTAGGTCATACTACCTCCATGAGCATAGGCCAAATGTTTAAAGTTTCAACATAAATTTACAATAATAAGTGTGGTCAACAATTGTTTTTATTAAAAGTGAATTTCCATCATAGTGTACATAAAAAGCATCATTACAAGTGAAGGCCAAAAATAGTTAATTAACAATGTATTGCTTGTAAGTCCTTTAATTTAGACTTAGGTCCAATTTACACTATGGATTGAGACTGGGGCCAACCTTGGCCAACTGGGTCCTGCTCAAACTTTGTATCACCAAAGTTGGCAATACATGTTACTGTACTTCTGATTCAAGAAGGCTGACAATCAATGCCATAGCAATAATTTTCTTTTGACCCAAGATTTTTGGCTCCTATATCTTTTTTTTTTTATAATTAATAGTCAGTGTAATTATAATTTTGGTCCAGTATCAAGTACTTACAGTACTGTACAAATTTTACATCCAGCTTTTCCTCTGAAAAAAGCCCAGGGTATAATTTGAATGAGTACACTGTAGTTGACAGTAGCTGACTTTTACAAATATTGGCTTTGAATTAGGCATGCAATGATAAAAAAAATTGCCTTTTGAGTAAAAAGAGGATTCATCAGGTAAAAGCCCAACCACCAAAATTTGTTTTGTGTTAAAGAGGGGGGGGGGGAGGTTTATACAAGAGGACCTACCAGTAATAAGTAATCTACAAATACATGGAATAGCACTTTGGTTTCAAATCACCTTAATTTTCACATTCTTTGGATACAATTCATCCTCTATTGTCTATCCCAAGGGAATTTTGGTAATATATGATTTGTTTGACTAAGGAATGGCAGTTTTATTTTATTATGAAACAACTGGGAGAAAAGAGACACTTCCCAAAAGTACAACAGGTAATAAAATCACTGTAGAACAAGTATCTGGTATTCATTTCAAAGACCGTATTGACCGTATAAGTGAAAGATAAAATATATTTTAACACATTAGCTGCCATTAACTGCTGCTTTTATTCCTATTCTACATTAAGAAATATGAAGGGTTTTTGGTAGTTAAATCATATACTCTTTATAAAGTAATGAGCTAAAAACTTTTAAAAATAACACTCAATATTTTAATACTTTGTAAATTATTATTTTTCAACAGATAATTAGAATGAAAAAAAAACCTCAACACTTAGCAGACATAACTATTCACTTTTTCACTTATTGGCTATTGTTTTGTATACCTGTAGACCTTGAATTTAACAGTGATCAATTTAAGTATGTTTGTGATACAATGTCAATAAATCAACATGAACTTCGGTATTTAATGCATTTGTTTTAAAGCTTAGAATTTACTTAATTCATTTAATAATATGAACAACTGAATTGTTCGGGCTTTCTGCATAGGCCTAGTGTATTTCACCACAGGCGGTATACCTTTAATAATTAAAGAAGTATTGTCCCTTGCTAATATAAAAAAATCATAAAAAATAATTTTAAAATAAACTTGCTCATATTGCAATAGCATACAAATTATTAACTTGTGCATAAAACTTATTTAATTTTAAAAGTGTGTACCCAGATTTTTAAACCAAAAAATTATAATAAAAATAATAAAACACTTCCAGTGACTGAAAGTGTTTCTATCATTTTTCGCTATAAACTGATGGGCAGACATTTTTTAAATACACTAATTTCTATGTTCAAGTTGATAACTTTTATGTTACTTCAAAATGGGCAAGTTAATTTCAAAAAATATTTTTATGAATTTTTTGGTATTTAGCATGGGACAATACATCTTTAAAGGGACCTTTTTTTCATTGAAAATCCTGCATAAACTGGTTGAGTTAAGCAGACAATACGCATCTTAATATGGTAAAGACCCTGATCTCCTTAATCCAATCATGGTCCAGCTACATTATACAGTAGGCAATCATTCAACTATGTAGGTCGTTATGAGACTCAAGACTACATTCAACTTATTGTGCAGGCCTACAGTGTAGGGCCAACTTGAACTGGTTCAACCTGCTTACAGACAAGGCTGGCCAAGGGCCGTCTTTCACTTTGCGTACTCACTTCCAGTCTTTGTACATGACAAAGTGGGCGATTCCATGTATGGCAGGAACAAATGACTGATCCACATTTTCTTATGTTACAGTAGCATAGATGTTTCCCATGTCAGATTTTATTATTACCTGTATTTTTGACATAATTTATAATTATGAGACATGAATATCAATGTGTTCCTTTAATTTAATGCAGGAACAGAAAATGTGCATTAAGGTAAGGTGAGATTTTTTTTTATACCCTGTTTAGCAAACCTGCCGACTGCAAAAATAAAATTTTATTTTTGGCCAATTAGTGCACACGCCGCCACGAAAAAGTGGAAATTTCAGAAAAAAATAAATGTTTTTCCTTATTTTTATTACGCCCTACGCTGATAAGATATGTATATTTCTTCCTAATTATATAAATTTGAAGCATTTAACCGTCCTATTTTACATTTAATAATAAAATTATATTTTTATATTTTCCTCCGTCTAGATGATCTTGGCAAAAATATTTGCTAAATAAGAAAACAAAATATTATTTTTATTTTTGTTTTTATTATTAAGTACTGGACGCAAAACAAGGAATAAAAAAAGTCTCACCTAATGGAGTGTTGTTGTAAATAAATAAATAAATAATAAACAAACATTAGTTATGCACCAATTTTAAAATAAATTATTAAGGCACGAAAGTATACTGTACATAGAGCATGAAATAAATAAAGTACTGTAGTATACAGTAGTCTCTGTCAAATGCTTGACCACTAGGTTCAATCTAGGTTAAAGTTGACTAGAATAATTCATTTTTTAACCTTACTAAATGCTGTACATTCTTCATTTTTTTACACTAAAGTTGCAGTTAAAAGAATACAAACTCTATCAAAATAACAAAATGTCATTTATTTAAGTATTTATATAGTACCACAACCCCAAGAGCAGGTTGCTTGGTTGACCCACTTGACGCAGGGTTCCCGGAATGCCGCCCTCAGCATCAGAAGTAGAACGTGAATTTTGATTTGGTTCGTAGTCAGATTTTCGACAAAAAATTCAGCTACCCCTATTTCTCGACTGAGAAGTCAATGGGAGTTGTAATTTGTATGGCAAGGAGATGGTGCTACCCTTAATTCGTATGAAGGGAATTTACGCCCAAAAACCTTGTAGTTATCAATATTTTGGTTATAATAGAAAATTTTTATTTTTTGGTGACGTCACACTCACGCTATAGTTAGCATGCATACGTCATAAGCTAGATTACGTCACCTTTTCCTGGTAAGGCAAACTTTCCCGGTGTGCTTTTCTCATGGATAAACAAACACCACTGCTTTGCACATGAATGCCTTGCCTAACTACTACAAGAGTCGCATAGTTAGCATATAATCCTTAAACAATACCCTTCTTATTTTAATTTATTTCTTTCGAAAGTATACTTTCTATCACATAGGCCTATATAATTGCACTGTCTACTTAGGCCTAGGCCTAGTCATATTACGCTTCATCGGCCCCCGCTATACACAGTACATCAGTAGGCTAGCGTCCCCCCCCCCACGCTACAGTACAGACGTTTGCTAGGCAAGAGAACGTGATTGCACCTTTCTTCCTAGGTGTTCATGTAAATTTGCATATTGTTAGCTAACCAGCTGCGTGTATTCCTTTGTGAAAATGAGTACCGCAGCGTACTCATTTTCACAAAGCATTTGCATCCCCTCTTGGAAAGAGGGAACTTCAAAATAATTGTCTCCATGTCTTCGCTAATTAATCACCATAACTTAGCTTACACTTATGCATGGGGGGAGCACTTAAAATGTACAATAGTCATTTCACTACCCGACAAACCCCGAACTTTATTCATGCATTACATAAATAGTTTCATCTTGCTGTACTCCAACATCACTGGCGCATGGTAACAACCAACTGGCAGACCATTTCCGGTCACACATTAATCTCCATAATGCAGCACCCCCTCCCCCCTAGTTCCGTGTCCTCCGGATGTAAACAATTTTCAAATTACAAGGTACAATCCCAGTTTGTATTTCATACAGGTAGCTATAAAATGCACTGTGAAAGTCCAAGGATAGGAAACAGGTTTGCTTTAAAATTATCTAAAAGGCCTCATTAGAAAGAATAGACCACTTCCAGTCAATGGTATCTGCTGTTCTCTGATAAATCTGACAAAGGACAATACATCCATCAAATAAACTGACGGACTGTCCATTTCAAATTGACTTACTGTAGCTTCAGTATACTAGCCATCCTCATTCTGAATTGATTTTTGAATTACAGTGAAGAAATAAATTAATTAATTGATTGATAAACCACTGCTTTGTTTAGTAATTGATATTACAAGTATCCAAGACCTACAATTTAATTGTGAAACAAGGCCTTGTAAAGTTGATTTCCAATTCAACATTACTGTATCTCTAAAAATCAATTATCTAGATTAATTCAAGAAATTTCTCATTAAATCTGTGTAATACGCTAAATACAGGTCTCAGTATAATTACATTACAGTCTGCACATCTAGAGTCGTCCTAACACTACTGTTTTTTCCACCTGTTTTTTTTTTTTCAAAGATCTATACAGGTGTGGGGACTACAGGTGTAACTGCTAATTAACTAACCTGCAAATGCATACCAACTTCTCTTACCTGGTTGACCAAGACATTGACAATTTCCCACATCTGTGCTTCTTGTCTTTCGATTTGATGTAAGTTTTTGGAATTTCTTTAAAAAAAAAAAAAGAAGAATATTCACATCAATGGGTAATGAACAAACAGGTCACTATACATTTGTATAGCCTATTTCTACTTGATACTGGTGATTTTCTCTTGTAAGTTGGGGGCCAAGCTGCTCTGCGATCCCCAAGATTTATTGTAGGGTTAAAAAAGTGGCCTAGAACTTTACCCAAGCGGCATACCAGATACGAAGAAGCATAGTGGTGCATGCCCCCCCCCAAAAAGATTGGGCCTCCCCACTCAACTGGAAATTTGGCAGATAAAAATTACTTTATAGACATATTTTAACTACTAGCACCCCTATACCCCTAACTTAAAAATCAAACCACTCATTTAATCTTCGATCCTCATCAGGGCCCCCTCCCCATGTCAATACTCATAGATACGCCACTGCTTGATCCACCATCGAAAGTACTAGATTAAAGAGATAAATAAAACACAGTACATCGACTTGTGTTTTTAACCAATTTGAATTAAAAATTAAATTGAAATACAGTATTTCAATTTTGGCTAGTACTGTATATCTATAGGTACAGATAGATAGTAGGTATTAAATATACTCCCTCCACGATATTATAGGGCCTATTTGTTGCTAAATAAAAAAGAAATGTTTAATGAATTTAAAAGATTAATTTGTCTTCAGCCCTCAAAAAGGAAAATGTCTGCCCTGATTTCTGCCTGCCAACTACAATTCTAAAAACCAGAAAAGTTTGTGGGCTACTTGAAACTTACGACTTCAGTAAAGATTCTTTACTGTAGAAAACGAAGGTCAATTATAATGTGTGAAGTAGCGGTTGATTCCTTACGTAACACCAGCAAAACCCATTCATGCAAGAACGGATGCTTAGCGTCTGTGATGTAGGTAAACACGCCAGTTTCAGAGAGAATGCATCGCCTGCATACCCCGCTGGCGTTTTACAATCCGATAGACAGCCTAGGGGTAAGCCAGCCTAGGCCTACATCATAACTTTACTAAACTAAATTTGGGCTTATTTTACCAAAAAATAATATGTTCAACATTAAACATTAATTAAAGGTTTAGGTAGTAGCATACGATACAAACATGCAATAAAGAATGGTGTGTTCTCCATCAAACTCATTTCTATCTTCCATTTCAAATCAATCCATGTTCAATATATCTTACCAGTGAAAATATTTGATCATAATTATCTTCCAAATATTTGTTGATATACTCATCGAGAAGGTTTTTAGAATCTGAAAGATCACGGCGTTCTAAACGAGCGATCCTAGAGTCAAGTTCGGTGTTTAAAAGAAAAAGCTTTATGCACAATGTAACAGACAACACACTCAACAAAGATACCGCAAAAATCCATTTCAGTAATCGTGTCTCCACTTTGGAACAGCAAAGTCCCTTTCGCTCCCCTTTGCTCTGGATTTGTTCCATTGCTGTTTCCTAAACTTAAATCGATTGAAATATAAATCCACTCCAATAGACAAATTATAGATGCTAAAAAGCAATGCAAAGAAAAATAACTTTTCACACAATACACATAATGCAGAGGGCGGTGCGGAGCAGCCGGCTGAAGTGCATTACTTTCTAAGCGAACTCAAAAATTCAACTAATCGCAGTAACGAGCTAACACCATTACAGTCGATGTTCAACTTTGCTTGACGCACCGTATCCTTCCGCACCGAGCCGGGCGATTCAAACAATGATAATAAATAAACGGATATTATGCACAATACTCCAAATTCATAAACTTAAGGTAGACAGAAAATCATAAAATGTGTGAATATAATATTACCCGACGTATAATATGTAGATCATTTATTAATATATTTCATTATGATGCACTACTTTTTCTGTAGACGAGGAACAGAGTCGTTAAAAGAAACTTCACCACCTATTTATGACCATCATTGCTTATTTAGTTAGTTGCTATCTATGTGGTTCATCTGCTGTTTGCTGACTGACATTTTACGAAATAGAGATACACAAAATTTACCGGGAAACTTAATACGAGATAATAAACTACATAAAAGACAGAATTGTCCAAAATATAGGTCAAAATGATATGCCAATACATCCGATACTATATATTGGCAAATCACTGGAGTAATTTTATAGGATTTGACAAAAACCACCATCTGGTTTTCCTCAACCTACTTTATTGTATTTTCGTAAGTCAAATTTGCATTTCCATTTTATTTTAAATCCATGCTATATACGGTAATATCGTATTATAGAAATTACTTCAATGATTTAGTATTAAGAATATACGGAAAAACGTTTGGAAGCATTATATATATTGCTGATGAGGTTTTAGTTCACGCACCAAGACATTCATTAGTTACGGATGCTGTTGTTTATTGGATAAACTTTATTATTTATGCTTAATTGGATGTTATTTAATGTTGAGATACTACTAGCAACTGTTGATAAAAATAAGGAACGTTTATTTTAACATAGGAATTAAATAATCAACCAGAGGAACCGCCTGCACTTTTAATCCTAGAAAAAAATGAATTCATATCGTAATTTTTTTTTTAAATGTTTTGAATGTGACTACTGTAAGGATAATTCTATGGTCCCATCAGTATCATGATTAGTTTGTAGACCTGTACTGTTATATTTTTCTCTTGTTGCTTTAATTAATATATTTAGTATAACGCTGTCATTACTTTGACGCTGTATAATGTAATGTAGTGAGATTTTGCGCTTCATACCAAAATTTCGAGCGCTCGAGATGTGGACCTAGGAGACTTGAAGTGAAGGTGCTGAAGGTGGGGGGTGGCCTGGGGGAGAGAAGGTCTAGGGGCTCGATGATCGTTTAAGAGTAAAGGTGGCGCTAACTCGCAAAATAAGGTGATTTTGTTTGGGGCGTCTGGGTGGGCGTAGGTTTTGGAGGGGCGTGCGCCGACTGGGCCTGCCAGGCTAGACTGGGGTCATAGGCTGTAAAATAACTCCCCCCCCCCC